AACATCTAGTTTGAATTTCCTAATATTTTCCATATCATCACATTTGAGTGTAAAATAGAACTTTCACCTGCAGTCATGCGGTGATTTGGATTGGATACTGTTACTGTTAAACACATTGCCCACGCTCTAGGCATGTAGGTGGCAGTAATCAATTAAATTATTAGCAAGACAATATAAACTGCTTTGTCAAATTTGCAGAAAACGTTCTCCAACTTCCAAAGTTCTCTGAATGAGGAAAAGTTGGTGTCTGCATAGTTCCTTGTGAAATAAGCAGTCAGTTACACCACCATAATACACTTTATTGAAGTAACCATGATATCATGGATGAAATAAAGTCAAAATCAATATCCCCTTCTACAGGAAAATTGCTCTAGCTGCCAYAGGAGTTAAATCTGTAGAAACCAGTCATAATAGTGTCTTTGAGTATGTTTTTGAGTTTTGCTTCTGTTAATGCAAGAAGTTTTCCCTCCATAATGACCTCCTTTACAGTTTTGCAAAGGACAGGTGGAAGACTTTACTGTTTCCTCTTCCTTCATGGGATTGCTAGGTCCTAGATGGTTTATCAGATGGGTTATRTCCTTTTCGCCAGCTCCCTTCTACCATTCTATTCTTCTCCACTAAGTAACACCCTCTGCTATTTTTTGAATCAAAGGAACCTTGGATATTAACAATGACYCTGTTAATGTTTTATTTCATTTTCCAGTTTCATATTACAAATATTCTGGGGAAAGAGCCATAAAGATAGAAGTGAGAGCTGGAATGCTCTTTCCCTCTGCTGAGGCTTGTTTTAATYACAGGAGTGAGCCAGCACCTAACGTTTTGAAAATGATGGCTTAGACCCCATAAATCAAAGGGCTGAAGAGCAGAAGAGACCAACAGCCTTTCTTATGCTGCCCCCTGCCCTCTAGTATACATATATAAATATACATACATATTTATTTGGTTTTTTTTGTTTTTTTTTTTTTTTTTTCACTGAGCTGCCAGGTGTAGACACAGCTGGGAGAAGCTTCCTTGGCTCTTGGAAGTTCTGTAAGTTCTGTAAGTCTCCTTCTTCTGTTTTTCATCATAATAAAGTGATTAGACCCACAACTTAAAACTTGTTGGCCAAAGGGAAGGTTAATATAGAGTGTTGATAAAAGTCATGTTTCCTTTGGGACAGAGAAGTGTTCTGAGAGAACTCTTTTACTTCTGTTCTCCTATTTACATTTATTTCCATTAGTTTGACAAAAAAAAAAACCAAAAAAACAAACAAACAAAAAACCCCCCCAAAAAAACCCAAAAAACAAAAAAACCAAACCAGTCCTATCTTCTCCATGCCAAAACACAGTAAAATTCAGTGAAGATACAAAGTGGTTAAATTTGAAACAATTTAATTGGAAAAAAAAAGAAGAGCTGCTATATTTTTATTAACATTACTAATATTAAAAAAATAGTAACAAGTTTCTCATATGGCCCWTGGAATTGTGGAATTTATTGCCTAGCTAGTGTTTTTGGTGTCTAATTTATCTAGATTAAAATAAAAAAAAAGTGGATTTCTGTATGGAAAATATGGTGGATTTCAGTATCTGGAGCTAGCAAGAAAGAGCAAATTTCAGACTTCATTCTCTATTTGTTAAACACACATATGAATTTTAATGTAATAGAAAATAATTGAATTTTCTCTTAAATAATTTTCTTGCATTTTTTTTCCAGTCTGGATTCTGCTGAAGACATTTTTTTTTTAATATATGCAGCATGAGCGAATCTGGGCAGAGGTTTCTTTGGTTTAAGTACAGCATCCTTTAGGAAGACATCTAATCCAAATGAGGAATGAAAMTCTCAGCTTTTTTTGATCTTTATTTGTAGAAGGCAAATGCCAAGCTTCACAGAAGTCAGACTGCTTTTTAAAATTAATCCTGTTCCAAGGCGATGAATTTTTATTTGAATATATTCAATGAAACCCCCATTTATGTAGATCTTTGCAACCTGGAAATTCAACCAAAATTAATCCCATTGAAGTTCCAGTAAAATGTAAATCCTAATTCACTTGTGAGGTAGAAAGGAGTTTAAGTTCCAGTACAATAGCTCATACATCACGAATCTGTCTTTTTTTTCTTTTCCCTTTAATTTATTTTCATGACTGAATTTAGCTCCACCTTGCTGTGCTTATCCTATTTTCCAGCGGTAAAACCTTGGTCATGAGTTCTTGCATTTATTTTCTGGAGGCTGGAATCCTTTTCAGGAGATGCCTGTAGAACGTGTTCTATATTAAGCCAAATAAAATTAAATGTATCCTTAAAATTAAGCAGGTGCTTTTTCTTTGCTTAATAAAAATGAATTAAGCATGTGTTAACTATTTACTGGGATTGAAGTCTGCTTGCTGAGTTGGAGGATAGACTTTTTGGATTAGTTTTTAACAGTCCTCTTCATAGAAACACAGATGGAGCATTCAAATGTCCTGATTGCTCACATGTTCTCATGATCTGCAGCCAGGATCTGGTATGGATTTTTTTCAGTTTAGTCAGAACAGGACTTCATCTGGAAAGCAGCAGATGGAAGGAAGGGAGGGGATCCAAGTTTTTAATCCTTTTTTTCTTTTTTTCTTTTCTGAACAGATGTTGTTGAGATGATCGAGCTACAGAGCCACAAATCCAACCAAAAATTGGGTAAAGAAATATATACAAACATATGTTGATACTTGGTATATGGTTAATCAGACAGGCTACAGTCATCTACTGCTGACATGCATATCTACCTCACATTTTATGGAGATGACAGGATTTTTAGGGCTACTGTACAAGAAGGATTTAATTTTGTGTGCTGTTTTGATTTCTCATTCAGTCAAAAGAAAAGCAAAACACAATACAAGTTACTTTAGTAACAGCTAAATGGTAAAGAACAGGACCAGGAAGCTGGTGAACAATAGCTAAAAAGTACATGGAACAGAATTTTGGCAGAATGATGGGAAGGTTATGGCATAKGGCTCAGGATCACAGACTTCAGTTTGGTCCCACCATTTCAGTGCCAACTGTCAGGTGGGATACTAAATTAATGGAAAAAGAATTGTATGCTATAGGATTTGATGACRAGTTAAGGACTAATGTTTTTCTGATTATTAATTTTCAGTGAAAGGTAAGGCTATTAAACTAGAACTGCAAGATATGCTGATCTTACCATGGTGGTCATAATGAAGTCATTCTGATTTTGTCAGTGATATACTTATTAATGTCTCTACATCTTTAAAAACAGAATTCATAACTTTGATGACAATTCCTCCAAAGTATWAATGTGATGTCTCATTTTAATCTTTTTGCAAAATTCACCAGTTAAATATATGCAAAATTTTGAAAAAGTTACTAATTACAGCTTATCAAAGCTTGTTCTACCTAGTAACTTCCCTGTCAAAATTCAGTAATTATGAATGAAGGGGATCCCAACAGGCACCTCTTTTACACTTGAAAGCTCAGAATTGTTGCTCTACAGTAAAACTTTGTGTTATGTAACATGAGTCAAAGGAGGAATTATACAGCAATATTTCTGTTATCTTCCCTGTGAAGACCAGAAATGGAGTTCAGGTTGGATGGGACAGATTGCTGTCACTACACAAACAGTTATAACTGCAATATCCATGGCCAAAAGAAATGATGCAATATGGAGACTAAATCAACATTTACCCTTTCTTCAAAAAATGCCTCCAGATCCTTAGAATGGAAAGCATTTAACTCCAAAGCATTATATTATATTATATTATATATCTATATATATCTATATATATCTATATATATATACATATATATATATAATATATAAAGATATAATATATATATATATAAAGATTCTGGTACAATCTAGATCATATCTTACTAACCAAATCGAATAAAATGTCCTGAATTTTCTGAGGTATAAACAGACTACTGTAAAAGAAAATAGTAACAGTCTACATAAAAGACGTAAAAATTTGACCTTTTGTAAGTACAGAAGGAAGAAAATCTAAGGAAACTCACCACRAATACTGAAGAGTCTATAATTCATTAATTTTTGTTCCTGACAAAACACTCTTAAATCTGAAACAGTTAAACACCAGGAATGCCTAGAAAATATTTTTGTGAGGAAGATCATACATAAACATGTAATATTAAAAAAGAACCGGAGGTTAGAGAAGGCTTCTTGCAATACATGGAAATTATCTGATTTGACATATTTCGGGCCTTTTATCTTTATGGAGTTTGATGTTTTACCAAGACTGTGGAGTACCTCATGGATAGTCACTAGAAATGTAGGGGCTGAACTGCTGAACACGATCAGTAATTTTATAAAACTGTCATAAAGCTACATATATACCACAGCTTTCCTTAGACAAGGTAAAAGACATTGCTTCCATCATGTCATACATGTAATTGAGAACTCCACCAAAGCCTGTCCATGTATCTAGCATTTTATAAAGAGGCCCTTMCCCTTGTACTGACTAGATGCCAGAAAGAGACAGGAGTTAGAGGGACAGCTGACAAYATAAACATTTAATGGAAATTGTGGTAGCCAGGAAAATAAATTTTAAGTATTTATTTAAACCAAATCTGCAACTCCTGCACTTTAAAAATAAATAGCAAAAGTCTCTGCAGGGATATTGGTGAAAAACAAGGGCTCAAGGACATTGTAAGAATGGAAATTAAGGACAGCCTACAGAAAGCTATTTGAATACAAGTGTTAGGACCATAACTTTATCAGAATTGAAACACAGAGACAGGAAGCATTAATTTCAAAGGTATTAAAGGGAAGGCTACATGGCAACATAGAAAATAAGAAGGATATAAAGAAATGAAAGAAACAAGATGCAAAGCATTTTGGTTAAATTCTAAGATCATATAACCTTGTATAGATCCTAGCAGGTGATCAAAATATCAGAAAAGATAATGATGGAATAACAGAATAATGGAAGTTTTAAGGGACATCTGGAAATCATCTCATTCAATCTCTAAGAAGAAAACAGAATAAAAAAACCCGCAGAAAGTACAACAGAATGCCTGCAAAGAAGTGGGTAAAAGAAGAAAAAGGACAATACAGTGCAAGTGGAATASATGGGCAAATATAGGAAGAGAAAAAGGATAAACATACTGATAGCAATAACTGTGTCCAAAAAAAAAAGGGATAAAAGCCAATCCAGAACAGATTTCTGGTTAAGATCTAAACAGTAAGTCATTCAAGTGGAAACAGAACAAGAAACTTTCAATGCAGTTACAATAAATTGTTTGAATAGCTTCAAAATATTCCCAGAAAACATGATGTGAATAGAACGAGGCTGGATACACTTAACAGAAAGATGATGCTTTAATTTAGCATTTATCAACAGGACAAATCATAAACATTCCACACAATTAATGAAAGATACTGTGTAAAAAACCAGTGCATTAACAGAATTTTTGTGCTCTAGTTTTGAGTAACAGAGTAAAAGATGGAAAACAATCATAAAACAAAAATAAAATTTAATTTAACTTTTAATTAACCTCCAGTCATGTACATTCATAGGCATTAGGCATTAATCATATCCTGGTAAACCAAACAGTTCTGGTTGGAAATCTTCCATGGACTTCAGCACCACTGTTGCCTTTTTAAGATCTGGATTTAGATTTTCATCTGGAATCATAACCACTTGCATTCCTGCTGCCAGAGCTCCTTTGACTCCAAGTGGTGAATCTTCAAACACAAGGCACTGAAAAAAAGAGAGGCAAGGGGAAAAAAAATAAAGGAACAATGTTACTATGAACTTTTAATAGCTTGTTTTGAAAGAGAGAATGAGGCGGAGTGAAACTTTACTAGGAAAAGTAAATTTCATTCTTGGCTTAGACACCCCTAATYAGAACAAGAACAAACCTCTCAATTTGGACATCTGCATGGCAATTAACCTTTAATTAATTTCAATTAAAAAAAAAACATCAATACACATACTTAAATCCCAGAAACTGGTTATCCAGATGTTCCTAAGTGCTTTGTTTTATAGGGACAGGTTTAATCACAAGCTTAAAGTAAAATTAAGCAAGTGCCTAAATACCATTATAAGCACACAATTTAACTTTTCCAAACCAACTTTACAACCTGCAAAATGGCAAAAACAGTGCTTTCACTTACAGGAGTGAMATCTCTTACATACACAACACTAAGCTACCTAGGTCAACAGTAAGACTTGGGATGACTGGTGACAGACATCACTTATCAGAAATGAGTGCTGTCAAAGTCATGCTCTATTTCCTTAATTCTTCCAAAGCAATGGTGAGAAAGAAAATAAGCAATTATACTGGAAGGTCACATTTAGAGAAGAGACAGTTTAGTCAGGTAGAAGTTCCATACCTTACAATAGTCACCATCATTCAAGATTGCAGTTTGGAAGCAAAGTTGTTAAAAAAAAAAMCCCAACATTATTTATATGAATTTTATAGTTTAATATAAAAATATTAAGTAATAAACATAAGATAAATATATAAAAATCATATGGTCTGAATTTTTATTAAAAAAAGATAATGTTTCTGGAGTTCATTCCAGAATTTATATAATGAAACATCTCTTCCTGCCATTATCTAGAGCTCTGTTTGTATGTCCAGGTCGTGGACAACCTGAAGCAACTTTTGGCATCCAGCAATCTGAAAAATTCTGACTATGCTGACACATGGTTTCTAACACTTCTGCAATTCATACTGCATTTATTATCAATATTATTAGCACTGCTACTATTACTGCCAAAATCATTGCCACAAGTAATTTGAGTAATTGAGAACAGATGTTGGGATGGTTAAGGCACTTTTCCTCACATCTACTAACCAATGCTCTCAGGCACACGGTGTGATTCCTGGGGCTGTCCTGTGCAGGGCCAGGAGGTGGACTTGGATGATACCTGTGGGTTCTTTCCAACTCAGGATATTCTATGATTCTATGAACATACAACAGCATACTACATCTTTTAGGTTCTCAAACATMCAACTATTTCATTGCAGAACATAAAGGACACAGTGTTTGTTCTAGCTGTGCTCAAAGAGAATCCAGTTGCARCTTGCAAAAACTTTATTATATTCAAAGAAAAACATTTTTGCAAGACGTTTGCAAACGTCTGCCCTATATATATCCATCTGTCAGAAAGAGTGGAAGAGGAAAAAGGAAGGAACCCTCTCCTTCTGATTTCCTTTCTTTCTAAAATATTGATTCTTGCCTTTCAATATGTCAGCAACAGCATGGAGTCTGTCAAGAGAAAAGGTGCTTTCTACCTTGCATGTAATAAAGTAAAACTTCATGATTTTTAGTCAGCCAAAGGAATTACATCAATCTGATTTGTCCCCATTTCCTTCATACAATCACTGCATTCCAATTTGAACAATGTGATACTTTCAACTGTTGATCATTATCACTATTACTTACTACAAATATGTAACTAGCTGACCCTGGAAAGCTTGGTACAATTGCTGTTACAATGGAAGCATGGCTCTGCCTATAGGTTTTGTTCTTAACAACACCTTAGTTCACGACCTTAAGCACTCTGAGGACAATAAATGAAATTCTGACAGACTTTGCTTTTTGAAGAATAAGCTTAGATGTTGCACAGAAGAGCATTATCAAGGCTTTTCAGAAACCTTTTCTGATCCAGCTCATACGAAAGAATGCTCTGCCTTGAAAGACCTAATTGACTACCATGATGTCACAAAGCGTACTGKAGGAGAAGAGCTGATGATTATAGAAGGCAATATGCATAATGAGAAGCTTAACTAATTCCCTGGAACTAGACACAATTAAAAATCTTAATTACCAAAGAAGCCAGGCAAATGACCCATAATTACAGTGACTTGCATGTCACAGGAAAGAAGTGTACCAGGTCCTCCTTAAGTCTTCCTTTCTACCGAAACTTATTGTCAACAGCAGAGTCACATTTCTAATGGATGACGAAAGGTTTACAGTGGTTCACACACAAAATGGATTTATTAATACACAGAGATGTTATAAACTCCTCACTGTCCTGGACCACCCACACACTAAATTTAGAGATATGAAAGCAGCCAAGTTCTTTTCCATTTTGTGCAAGTATTGCAACATCAGCATCACTCCARCTGAGAGACAGATGAGATTTATACAGACTTCAGCTGAGATTTTGGCTGCTTCTCTGCATCATTTCTAAAACCTGTGTCACTGATCAATACTACTGCTACAAGAKCTCTCAAAAGGTCATACTAATATAGGACAGTTCTCACTTTGGAATTAACTAAATGCTTTAAAAAGTAAAGTAGCAAAGTATATTAATTTATATTTCACACTATGAATCTAGAAAAAGAAAAATTAATCACTTAACCAATGGAAGAAATAGTAAGACCACTGGAGCACCTCATTACCTCATCTTCCTACATGAAATGTAAGAATTTAAGAAGAGTGTTAGTTAGGCTCTTGGTATGTACAGCAGGCCCTCTCTAACCTATATACTGCAAACGTCTGGATGGAATAATTATGTGACGAACAGGGATATCCCTAAGTGTTATTGCTATTAGTGATAACCAAGAAATCTAGAAGGACAAAAGATTAAGATCAGTTTTGAAACTAAGATTTTGAAAAATCTGTGAAGCTAATATATATGCATAGGGAGTGGTTATCAAACAAATATCCTTGACTACATATGACACTACTGTAACAGCTCTAAACGACTGAACGATGAGACTAAAGGTGCCATGATTTATACACACAGAATTTAACTGCAAATTTAACACTACCATCTATTGTTCTGTAAAGAAAGAATGGAAAAAAAGTTTTCATCATCTGTCCTCAAATGACACAGAAACATTTGGTATGAGAAAGTGACGTATTATGTTTTGGGCTTCTTATGGATTGCATCTTATACTCTGTAACTTGTTTATTTTAATTAATGTTTTCCCCCTTCATAATCAAATCAGTTGGTCAAAACATGATGGGTTATTTGTAAAATCTGCACTCTAGAAATATTTGGTACCCTTATACATGTGTGTGTATATATATATATATATGCACAATGCTGTCTTCTATAACTATTTAAGGACTAATTCAGATTTCATCACATCACTAAAAAAAGCCCCAAAACAGGCTGCAGGAAGAAATTCACCAAGTACAGCTACCTCACATAGACATCAAAATGACACYGTTATTTCTGTAAAGCAGAAGGTGATCAGGCCTTTCATTTCTACAGGTAACTTGCTGACGGTTCATTGCCAAAAGTATTTTTACTTTCTTGTGAAAAATATTTTGTCTCTTTTATATAGTTAAAATTTAAAACTAAGTAGTATCTAAGAAATAAATTAACATTCTGAAAGATAGCACTACTTCAATCATGGTTTGTGTTTTGTTCAACAACTTTCGTATTTTTCCTCGCTTAATTTCTTCCAGATTTTCAATATAATTCCAGTACTGACCAACTGTGTTAGTTGTGTGAGTGTCCCAGAAATTTTCAAGAAGCATAATATAATTCAGAATACAACACAGATACATCTATATCCCACACGAAATGCTGAGATGCTGAAAAGGTGCTKTTTGTCATTTATGGGAGGTGGTGGAAATTCACAAAGGGGAGAACAACAGCTTAAACATGTCATAACACAGATGCTGAGCTATTTTTAGCTCAGCTTATGTTTTCTTTTTTCCTATGTTCTGATATTCCAAGTACCTGGGAACAAAGGGAAAATTTATTTCTGGGTGACCCATTTAATATCAGAGTTACTTAAACATTATTGAATAAATCCATTTTAAGCAGCAGCAATATTTTCAATTTTGGTTTCCAACTGTGTTAATTCTCTGATGAATTAACAAAAAACAATAATGAAATAAYGTGATTAATGTTTCTCTCCTAATCTTTGGACTTATACTCCTTCCAGAAATAGTTGGAAAAAATCCCAACAGTGAATATAATAATGAATTACATTTCATTTTATTTTAAGGATATGTGCCAGTTTGACCAGCCAGGGATAATAGAATCATATTAAATATGCTGTTAAGAAAGTAATGCAGCTTACAGCCCCACAACTTAGTTCCATTAAGGAAAATGAGGAGCAAGCCAAGATATTTTTAAATGCTATAACAAATGAATAAACAAGCTGGAAACTTAAAATCAAATGAATTAAGCATCAGAGTATTCAGAAGACTAACTACAGCCATCATTCTTTATGAGTCAATGATTCATATTAGGAACTGTTTGGAAATTACTTGCACATATGCTTTTAAATTCAGATTTTTAYTAACTCACTACTAGGAGTATGTTGCAGACCAATATAAGAATCAAATTATTTACCATGAAACTTATAAACCAAAAAAATAATTAGCATAATTTCAAAAAAGGAAAAGAAAAAAAAGGGAAATGTGTTACATCTGCACATAATTAGATCACTCTGTCTTTCTAGCTCTTGCATAAATGCCACTTTACATTTCGGTCTACACAAACAGTTCCTCTCTCACAAACCATTTCACAGAACGTTATCTTAAGGAAGGCCAGAAGAAATAAAATGATTTGGATGGGGAAGAAGGAGAGGAAATTTCATATTTCTTGCTTGTTTTCAAGACTTGATCAAATGAAAGAAAGTGTTTCTGAGAGTGACAGTCAGCCCCAGACACTGCGAGACCAGGGAGAAGGTCACATTTACATGCGGGGTTACTCTGATCATTCCGGATGGCTGGAGCACTCTTTTCACAGAGCACTGTGTGTTTAGAGGACAGCACACT